AAAGAATTTAAGGGGATCATGAGACTAATACATTTGAGAACTGCTCAGAGTATAAACTCTTAAGCTTGCCCTTCAGTAACTTTTGAGTTTGAATCCAACTTATTTTTCCGTTTCTTTCTTGCTTGCTTCCTAGATTTTAGTTAAAATGAAGCATCTCTGTGACTTCCATCTTTGGATCTGAGCCTGTCCTCTTCCATTTCCCTGCCTCTCCCACTCATGGACAGCTAAATCTTACTCATCTTTCAAGGGGCAGCTCAAATGCCACCTCCTGCAAGAACCCTTTCATGATCCACTAACTACAGATTTTCCCTTCTTCCTCCTAATACCCACAACACTTTATTCTTCTTTTCTGATGCATCACTTTCTACTATCCTGGAGTCATTTGAATTCATGTACTTATGTCTTGCAGGAACATAAACACTTTGTATTTTGGGTTATCTTTGGGTGCTTACTCTTATCAGTAGCTCTATGCCTATTTGATACTAGAATGACTGTATGTCTAGGTTTATAAATACCCAGGTATTTATAGATTTTTATTTATTTCACTCATTTTCTCATTCTTTATAAGACTTGTGGCAAGTTTTTAATTGTAAACTCACTACATAGATGGCGCCAAAGAGTGAAAGTGTACACGTCATTTGAATATTAACCTAAGCAATATGAACAGGGGTTTAGTTTTGGAATGAGAGTTATCAAATGATTTAGAAGCCAAACATAAGAAATTAACTCACCCAGCATACTGCTCCCATTTATTTTTACTAATAATTGTGAGTTTTCTGTGAACCACTCTTTTTGTGGAAAGGTTTTGATTTGAATCAAAGTAGGAGGAAAGATTAAGAGAAATACTTTTGGTAAATTATAGAAGAATGTATAATTTGTTTTAGGTAATAAACAGGACTCTTTAGACATCTTGAATGTTTTCCAGCATGCATTTACAATTTTTTGTACTATGATGACTGAAACACGGTATAATATTATGTTGATTAGCTATGGCTAAATTTTGCCCATAAATATTTCATTTAGTTGACTATTAAAAGTAATATAACGTTGCCCTCAGGAGCCTAGACAAATGTCTTATAATTTAAGTGACAGTGTTTTAAAGATGTATTCATTCTTTTGTCTGTGTCTGGTAAGATGTGTTTTGAATTTGTGGGCATAGAAAGTGTGTGGTTTACAAACATGTATGCACATGCATTTATATTAATCTAATATTTTCTGAAAGCATAAAGATGCCTTGTGATAGCAAATATCCCACAAGTTGAGTAGTAACAGAGCTTAAATCTCATGGCTTTTGGGGGTCACCTTCAGGCTCAGAAATGAATGTGCCACTTAGATCTCTTCATAAGGAAATGCTGATCGTGCACTGTATTGGCTCCCATTGGCAAATACTGCTATGCGTATGTTGTAAATTTTCATTTCCTTCTTGTCTCCAAACTGTAGGTGGCATTGCAGACAGTGTAGCCAAGTGGATATTTAAACAAGACTTCAGCCCTGAAATATTAAAACTGGCTAATAAACAAAGAGATGTTGAAAACCCAGATCAACCCAAAGAAGGTATTAACAGAGGTTTCCTTGAGGTATCGGAGGTGGAGATGGACTTAGGAGCCATACCAGGTGATACACAAGTAATGAGATACACGAAATCCAGAGTGGAGAGATGCGGCTGAGTTTTCACTGAGGAAAAAATAACATCACCACTCTTTTCTGACTTTCAGACTTGCTGCATTTAACCTATGAGCAGTTTCCTTGTAGCCTTGAGCTAGATGTGCTACACGCACATTGCTGCTGGGAGTATGTTGTTCAATGGAATAAAGATCCAGAGGTAAGATTGTTACCTCTTTTGTGTTAATTCTACTTTTGTGTTCATACCATAATTACGTGGGCACTATTTAATTAAATAGCTTATAAACACTGGCTTTTTCCTTGTAATGTCTCTGTACCGTTAACTGTGCTAAGTCTTTTTCGTATATTACCTCATAATCCTCACAGTAAACCTATGAAGTATAGGTATTGTTGTTATTCACACTCTAAGGAAGAGAAAACTAGGGCTCAGAGAAGTTAAGTTCCTTCTAGGACTCACTTCTCAGTAAGTGTCAGGATTTAAGCATAGGTTCCTCTGTCTGAAACCAGTGTGTTTTGTTTGCCCTACTCCTAATTAGGTTGTGACAAGCACATTTTTTATTTCCTTCTGAATCCCTGCATGAAATGGCACCTACCTGGCAGAATATTCTTAATATTAGAGTCATGATAAAAGTCAGAGTGGAGATCCAGGTGTCAACCTGATTGTTGTGTGATTGTTCAGATATATCTTTGTGACTTCTCTTATATTTGCCTCAGAAGAACAACCAAAAAAGGCATATTGTGTACGGAGTCGACTTTAGTCCAGGGTTAGCCTTGTTGCCCTCTCAGCACTGCTCAGGCATCATTTTCCATCACCTCTGGTAGCCACTGTCTCTGCCAGGGCATCCACAGTCTAGGAGCAGCGTAGCGGGAAGGCCTCGGGCCTGGAGGGAGGAGAGCTGGATGTGGATCCCCGATGAATTGCTCACCAGTGTCTGGCTCAGGAGAGTCACTGAAGCTCTGTTTTTTTTTTTTTTAATCTCCTCCCCTCCAGTTTTTGTAATGACAGTGCCAGGATCAAATAAGATGTAAAAACACATGGTGGTATTCCTCTTTGCCCATTGGTCCTTCACTTAGGCCTCCCTGGTCAGTGCTCTGGTAAATTACTCCTCTCAAATCAATACTCATTATCATCCTTACATGAGGTGCACTCTTTTAGAGAACTCTCACGGGGGAACTAATTCATGCTAATGTGTTAATGGTAAGGATACTCTTTCTTCCTCCAAAAACTGTAATCACTTACATAGTAAAGGAAGACACTAAAAATGTAAGCAATTTAAATAAAGGAATGGTCTTTAATTAAACCTTGACCAAAAAGTGATTTTAAGACAGGGGATCCTCTTTTTTTTTTTTTTTTTGAGACAGAGTCTGGCTCTGTTGCCTGGGCTAGAGTGCCGTGGCGTCATCCTAGCTCACAGCAACCTCAGACTCCTGGGCTCAAGCAATCCGCCTGCCTCAGCCTCCCCAGTAGCTGGGACTACAGGCATGCTCTACCATGCCCGGCTAATTTTTTCTATATATATATTTTTAGTTGTCCAGATAATTTCTTTCTATTTTTAGTAGAGACGGCGTCTCACTCTTGCTCAGGCTTGTCTTGAACTCCTGACCTTGAGCGATCCACCCGCCTCGGCCTCCCAGAGTGCTAGGATTACAGGTGTGAGCCACCGCGCCCGGCCCAGGGGACCCTCTTAATGCCCCTCAAAGTACCCTCTTCAGTTGATTCCTCTACATCCTGAATGGTAATCATGTTTAGGCTCTCTAATTAAATGGACTAGTACAAGGACATCATAATTTCTGAAATCTGAATGAATTAATTCCAGATTCAAATCTAAAAATGTGGCATTTTGGAAAAAAGTCTGCTTTACAGCATTATTTTATAAACCAGAGGCAGCTTGCACAGTGGGCTGAGACAAAGCTGACTTCAAGCCCCATTGCTGCTATGTACAACTAATAGTAATCATAGCACACAGCTAGTGTGACTTTTGGGAACGTTTCTGAACTTTTCGTATCAATTTTCACCAAAAATGAGGGCTATAACAGCAGTCATCTCAAAAAGTTATTGCAGTTTATAGAGACAGTGCATGCAGAGTACCTGACTTTTGATTAGTGTTGTCATTGGTGGTGTTAGAATTGCTTACATTTAAAATAAGTCACTCTTTTTCTTGTTTTTTTTTTTTTTTCCTGTTAAATATTCATCATGCCTCATCCAACCCTTATTCTAATTCCACTTTCACACACACAACTTTATAAGGCTCAAAACAGTTAAAATTACCTTTGGGGAATTTTCAACACAGTATGTATTGGTAGTGGTGATTTGTTTAATCTGTGTTTAGGCTACAAAATTATTTAGCAAAGATCTGGATAATTTCATCAGTATTACATACTGTATTTGAGATTTAATATGTAAACTTCCTTGATTAGAAAGAGTTAACTTTCAAACATCCCCTCTGATGTTTCATACTTCCTTCCCGCCTTTAATTTTTTCTCCTTGGCAATTACCACTAACATATAATTACTTACCATGTTTATTGTTTAGCTCCTTCACTAGAATGTAAGCTCAAGCAGGGCTTGGTACATAGCAGTTGCTCAATAAATATTTGTTGCATGATGAATGAATGAATGAATGAATTGTATTTGCAAATGTAAACTCATTGTTTTCACATTTGTATGAAATTCAAGTATTTATTCGAGAGAATATTGCTATTATGTACAAACCACAGCAAATTTGAATCCAGATGTTTGCCTTTATGAATATGCTGGGAGTTTCTAGGGATTAATCATTATATAGGTCATATGAATTTAAGAGGGACAACTGAAGGTATCTTATCAAAAATTACACCTTACCTAATAATTCCATGTTCTTATTACAACATTCTTAGGCAGGTTTATGCAGAAATTTGTGTAAGAAGTCTCCATTGGTATTAGAAACACCTGTTAAATGATTCCTCTTTTTTTCTCTTTTTTCTCCCTGCATGTAAGGAAGCACGTTTTTTTGTTAGGTCAATAGAACATTTGAAGCACATTCTTAATGCACATATTCAGAATGGTAAGTAAACAGATGTTAAAAACATCACTGATTTTAAAAAGCCATCCTGATTTAATCTAAAGATTCACATCCTATTAAATTTTTATTTGAGTGTCCTACAAGCTAACATATTACTGTGTTTTGCTATATGCAAAGAACTGGCTGTTGTAACTGCTTGGAAAAGTGCTATCTAGAAAGGGGCAAGGGAGCTGGTAGTAATTTTCCCTTCTGTTCCCTAAGCTGACTACTGTTCCTTCCTTGGTATAATTAAGGGAGCTATTATGCATGAATCATTGATTCCCTCTTTAGTTCACAGGTAGAGAAGGAAAGATGGATGGAATTGTCAGGACTATAATTCTTGGTGAAATGGCTTGATAGCCAAAAGCCTAATAAGACTAGACCCTAGAAACTATCTTGTATTTCTTTTAATCGATGTGAATATTCTCCATTGGCTGTGAGACCCTGGGGATTGCTGGTGTCTTCTTGAAAAAAATGTTACAAATTATTGTAGAGAACTTATAAACAGATTCCATTTGATAGATAGAGATGGATTTCGTTATAAGAATTAATTGAGGAGAGCAACACTAAGTAACCTTAGTTAAGTGGTGAGAGTAGGTGTTAGGCTGGGTAAGAGGAGGTGTCAGCTGATGTCTGTGTGATAAATTCTAGAGAATTCTACTTATTTCTTTTTCACCTGCATCATATTCTTATAGGTGGTATGAAGTCAAATTGCAGAAATTGTAAAATGTCTCAATTTATGTTCAGAGAACTTGAAAATTATTTATTCCTCTCTTAGATCTTACCTTCATCCAAGAAAAAAAAGATTTGCAGCGACTCATTTAGACAGTATGGTCTCTAGATTATTCTATCCTTATTGGTAAAATTAAGTTACTTCCAGACTTCAGGCTAGTATTTCTTTAAGTTGGGCCTTTACTCATTTGTCCCTGTACACACTGAGTCAGCATCCCGGCTGCTTCACAGCCTACAAAGGGCCTCACTCCTGAATACAGACTCAGCTACACGGGTAGTAGTAGCACATGTGAAATGCCATGGTTGCACTGCCTGATTG